TAACATTATTAGCAGGGTCATTTAAAACATGTGTTCGTTTTTCCCATGCATTTTTTAGATATTCTTTAATACAAGTATCAAAAATTAAGCCAAGAGTCGAATTTGTTGAGAAAAGATCATCAAGCAAGCAATGAATTTTTAGATGTGGTGAACCATTGGAGAAATTTTCCCAATATTCATGTAAATTATTTTTAAATAGAGCAATTTTAATTTCATGGAAGGTATTAGCCCTAATATTATAAAATTGTGGGCATTCTAATAGAAAGTGCTCTATATTTTCAACAGAGTTACAGTTACATAATTTGCAAAAACCTGTGCACTACTCATACCATGTACTTTTCCTACCTTCTAAAGCTAAACAATTAGACCTTGCTTTAAACTTTGAAGTCAGTTATATCATATAGATATGTTTCAAAAAAGGTTTGTTTTTATATTCATTTAAAGTTGATTTCTTACAAGCTCTTTCAAACCATTCATTATCATCATTTGTACAATTTATGAGTTTAAAGTCAGATGAAAGGTAAGTTGATTGATTTACACAAAATTCATGGTTTAAGTCATGCCTCGAAAGAAGCTGCTTAATGAAGTTCAACCATTTCCATTTCATTTTATGTTCATTATACATAATTGCTTTCAAGAGTAAACGGGGCCACCTGTCATCGTCTAGGTTTTTCAACCGGTTGAAATATTTAATTTTAAAATTTTGTATACTGGCAATTGTGTACCATCCTAGATCTCCGTATAATGCTTCTTTAGCTACATATCTAGGTGCTCTTAGAATTATCCTTGCCATTTCATATTGAAGGTTTTCAATTTTGTCGGTTGAGGATTTACAACCATTAAGCCAAACAGAGCAACCATAGTTGATAGTAGGTAAACCGATTACTCTCCAAAGTAAATCACCAAAATAAACTCTGTTAAAGTTGTCCTGATTATAGATAATTGCCTTTATATATGCTATTATTCTATTACCTTTTCTTAAAACCTCTTCTATGTGTCGTGAGTCGGTGTTAGTGTTAGAGATATAAATTCCAAGATATTTATAGCAGTCAGTCTCTGTAATAAAATTGTTACCTAATTTCCATTTCCAATATTTATTTACACGTTGTCCTGTAATAAGAACATTGGATTTATTGTAATTAAAATCCAGTTTCCATTTATTTGAAAAGTCACTTGCTGCTTTAAGAAGGAGATTTAGATCTCTTTCGTCTTCACCGACTAACACTACATCATCAGCCCAAAATAAGGCTCCAATTTTAACATTAAATATATTAACTCCAAGGTTACTTTTTGTTATCATTTTTCGTAATTCATTGATGAAAATTGAAAACAAAATAGGTGACAGT